AGTTAAAAGTGCGAGAAGGACACAGGGTGGACGGGTTCACTGATAAATGCCACTCTGTGTGTGAACACAGTGAGATCTTGTTGCTTATCAGGATTGTGTGCACCTTTTTTTTTTTATTTTTTATTTCCTCATACCGAGTTGAAAACAATATGTTCATACAGTTTACATGCATGGATAATGTTTCATCAGCTGACATCTGTGTTTACAGAAGTGAGTCATGTTGCACTATTGGACTGTGTTTAGTTTGTCATAACACAGCAGAATGTGCTGAATGTTACTGTTAAAGCTGATAATACTGTTTTATAGTATTTAGTTTCACTCATCGCTGAACAAGTACACAAACTCATACTATTATAATAGTGGAAAGTTCTTTTTTCAGGTGGCTATACACATAGAAGAATAGAATAGAATAGAATACATATATTTACAAAAGGCGCCAGTAAGAAGTGTATACAGTTAGCCAAACGGTAGAATAAATATATCACACTGTTGATGTAGGAACACTGTGGATATATGAGAAATACATATAATATAAATAAATTATTATTATAAGTAATATATAATATAATATAATATAATATAATATAATATATATAAAATATATACAAAATATAGAATATAGTATAATATATAACAACTAAAACATAATTATAACAATATATATATAGCATAGTATAGTATAAATAATAAATATATGTGATAAATAGTGGAGACTGTAGACTAATATGAGTATATATCTTGACTATATCTTTTTCACTCAACTGTTTTCCTCTTTTCTTCCACATTTTTGAGATAAAGTTGTAGTTTTCACTCATTACATTTATATAATGACTCTGCCACTTTACAAAACACATGATTTTAATACAAAAATATATTTTTTAATGCAAAATGATACATTTATATACACAAAACTACTGTCAACAGTAAATAAAATAATCGACACTAGTGAAATGTTTATTTTTTATATATGTTTCTTATAACACATGCATAATTTACTATTATTTCACTGCTTTTACTCACAATAGAGTCTTTTTTTACCATCTTGTATTTGTACTCTTACTTAAGTAAACAACCTGAATATATCCTCCACCACTAACTACATTTATCGGACAGTTTTAGGTGCTAGTTACTTTAAAGATTGTCATGAACATAAAATGCAGTACGGTTTAAAAACATCTGGTGCATAAAACAGCTTCACAAAATGGGGATATATAACTTCACCTTGAGAAACTGCAGCAACCAAATGCTTTGTATATACATCTATACTATTATGACCCTCACAGGTGTGTTTTCGTCATAGTATCAGTGTCCTTTTGATACTTTTCTGAACTAATTTTTCAATTTTAAAAGATGCTCATTTGCACTTTTACTCCAGTGACATCTATAGTGCAGGACTTGTGCTGTTGTGTATTTTTATGGTGCACTATTGCTATTTTTAGTCAGGTAAAGGATCTAAATACTTCCTCCACTACTGCTCAGAACTCAAAATAACAAACTTACAGTTCCACTGTCAACATCTCTTACCCACCCATTTTCTCCCCCCCGTTCTCTTTCCAGTTTTCTCCCTCCGAGCTTTTGCCATTGCATCCATGTCTTTTATCACAATTTTGACCCACAGAAAGGAATTCTCACAAGATATCAAAACAAAAATCTATATTTAATATGAGAGCAATTACAAAGCAAAGTTGGCTGCACAGGGCTGTTGTCACCAGAGCGCGTGTTTTTCATCAAATAGGTCATTAGACGATGATGGATGTAAACCTATAAAGTATCTAAACTGGACCTTTTAACAAACCACGAGCAACACTATCATTTCTCTAATAGAACCTGCTGACCGTGTCATTCCCTCCTGCCATTTGTCATTTTTCCTTGTGAAATAATCAATATCTGGGCGCTTTGAAATAAATAATATAAAAGTCATAGTAACCTACCCGAGGAGCAACAAAAATAGACTTATGGAGCATTCAGAAGGCCTATATGGCCTCTGGGCAGTGTCTGCTGCATGTTTCTAATCAATGCATAATATGAATTGTATTTTCTAAAGCACAGACTGCAGGATTTTAGTTTGGGCCACTTTTTTTTCCTCAAGGTTAGCATCTGCTGTGTCGATTCTTCCCCCAGTGAACCATGTTGGACTGATTTCACAGGAACAGAGCTGTATTTGTGGCGTAAATATTAATGTTACAATGAAATGATCTCTGTGCAGACCAATTACGACAAATGCCTCCAAGAAGTAATGCTAAAATAATAATAAAGCACACCAAGTTGCACAGTTTGTTGCACAGATGTTCTTCTGCAGCCTCCGCCTGATCGCCTGGATTCTAACTGGGTCATGGAAGATGTGATGCCAGGTAAACACAAGCCTATTGTTATTACTTTACTGGCAAATAATCAGGCCTCATTTACGATTATAGGTTTAGTAAAGAAACTGAGAGATAAAACTAAGAAAATGAGTCCATCATGTTAACATTATGAAGTAAATACTCCAATATTTATCATTTTGCAGAAGAAATCCAGATTTTATATGTCAACTATTGCATGTACCAATGTGTGTATTTTTTATTTCTTTCACTTTTACCTTCAAAAACACAACAACGATTACAGAGCTACATTTAGGACGGTCATTCTGGGTGCTTTAGTGGCCACTTGTGAAAAAAATCTGATACGTAAGAATGAGGATATGAATATTCCAGACTTCCCGAAGACAAGTTCAGGAAGTCAGACAACTGCAAGTGAATACTTTTTAAGATATTTGATCCAGTGCCGACTAACCAAAATCATTAACTGCAGCTTCTTCTTGAGCAGTGTTGTGAGGCATATAAATGACATAAATTATGCAAAAACATGGTTGAAATTGCAGCCAGTAAGAGCCTCCAAGCTGTATCCACTTGCCAAAAAGCAGTTTGTTCCTTTAATGCCGCTCCATTGTGAACAAGGCGTTAATGGCAAATCATCTTTATAGAGATGAACACACCTGATTTAGTGGAACTGCTGCAGTGAAATGGTTAAAAAAACAGAGTTAATGCAAAAGTTTAGACAAGTAAAGATGTGTTCTAAATCAAAAAATCTGCACATTCTCTGCCCATATTCACAAATACTAACAGATTAGACTGGATTAGAAGTTTACACATTCTGCACCTCAGTCTGGGACCCGCAATTATGGCCAAGTCAAGAAACGCTGTAATTACATCACAGCAACAGGATATCTCCACTTGAGCAGCTCACTAAATGAATTACACGTGTTAATGACACGGACATGCCGGCGCAGGTAGGAACTCTACTGCTGATGGAAAAAAGAAAGAAAGAAATAGAAAAGACCATGGTACCCCCAGTGCAACCTTTACCTTGTCACTCACATCCGTCCTCATGACTGCAAATCAGACGGCTAATGAATATCTTCAGGGAACACATGATGATGATGATTCATAACTGGAACGAGAACATCTCAGTTAGGTCACCCTGATATGCTGCATCTGTCCCGGTCTCACACAAACTTGTATTTTTGCCACGTTGGAAGATAATATGACTTATATTACTGCACTGCATTTATCTTGAATTTCATCTAAAGAACCACAGGCCTGACCTGAAATAAAACTCTAATATTTACCAAAAAAAATGCATTAGTTTGGCTTGTAGGGACCAGATTTTGTTGCCAATTTGGAGGTGAGCTCCCATGAAGTGACAACGCAATGACACCCCCACAAAGTGATGAATTAAAGCACAAACACACAGCTCTCCCCCACACACGTGCATTTCCAACCGGTGGCCCACAGAGGACGCTGCCTCCCCGCTTTTTCCTTCCTTTTCTTCTTCTTCTTCTTCTTCTGCTCCCTCCAACCAATGGACTGCTTTTTAACAAGTCAATTAATATCAATGAGTGAATATACATAGCACATTTACAAAGAGTGCAATCTGAGGGATGAATTAACGAAATCGATTAGGGAGGGTTGGGGGAAAAAATGAGTGTGCGACGCGCAGACATTGTGGAAGTGGCACTCGCTGCAAATCAATGAATTAGAAATATGAATCTAATCGCCCATTGGTGACACGTTGCGTAGCTGCAGCCTGATCTCAAGCATTTTTTCGCCCCATATTTTGTCTCAGAGTTTGGGAAGCAGAAATTGGGGACCACTGAACAGTTAGAGTGCTGGCATGGTGACCACAGCATGAATTGTTAGTGGTGTTTTATTTGGATTTGTCTAGTCAGGATAACAGGATTGTACACAATTAAGGAGACTTTTTATTGTTTTGTTTTGTTTTGTTTTATTAAATCATCTTTATTGCGCCATTTAAGTTTGGTTATTTCGTGAGTGGAGGTGTTACGCGCGGTTGGATAGGTTTTACGCATGAAGAATTACGCATGAATGAATTTGTCTTTAAATAATTACATATAAAAGAATCAAATTAAAAAATAAAAGCATCACATTAAGGCCTCAGATAAAAGAGGCCTTAATGTATAAAATATTAGTTTTCATTTCTTTAAAATACAGAGATATTGAGTGCTCATTTCAGAGTTGAAATGTAGCCAAACAGCTCCAAAAATCTACGAATGCCCCCACAATTTAAAATAAAATCTGCAGAAACAGGTTCCAAACGTATCATACAATTTTAAAAACGCAAACACTGCATTGTATATAACCCTTATGCAGCCGATTTGTGTCTGACTGTGATGTTAGTTGTGTGATGACTCGCTTGTTCTGACGGTCCAAACCTTCCTTTTTGGCGGTAACAGCCCTGTGTTCATTTGTCGCTAATTGGACTATATGAGACCAATAACAGGCGAGCGCACACAGCCTGCAGCCAGAGCGCACAGAGAGGGGAGGATGGTCTCTCTCTCTCTCTCTCTACCTCCCTCCCTCGCTCTCCCTCCCTCTCTCTCCTCACCGTCTCTCCCTTAATCCCATTTGCCATTGTACATGCCCAATCGCCTATACTTTCCGCATTTAACTTGGATGACATTTTTATTTCATCATTAGCATCAGACGCCAGACTGACTGACACGGTGGACACAGTTTGCGTTTTGACGAAAAGAGCCCGGGATGAGACATCTCCGTGTTTGCGCATTTTTTTTCCACCTTTCAAACACTTTATTTTATGTTTTTTCCAGCCTAGGAGGACGTGCGTTTTGACGCGTTCTCCGGGTGTGAAATCCAGTTTCCGAAGAATAATAAAAGCAGGAACTGCTCGTATAGCCAGGATATTGACAGTCTGTAAGTCAGCCTTGCTTTTTCTTTTTCCCTCCCCCGTTTTTTTTTTTTTTTTTTTTAAATTTCTACTTTCGTGGTCCCTCTGCGTTCAGACCACAAACCACAGCGATGCCAGAGACAACGCAAGAGACGTGCGCTTCGGCCAAGGACTCTCCTTTCTTCATTAAGAACCTGCTGAACTGTGATAGCAAACCATCCAAGCCCAAGCCCGTACTGGCTGCCACCAAGGCGGCCATAGAGGGAGGATTTTCCCTTTCCCAGGTCGGGGACTTCAGCTTTCCACGCTTTGACCTGCCCGCTCAGAGGTTCAGTCTACCGGCTCACTACTTGGAGCGCACATCGGCGTGGTGGTACCCCTACACCCTGAGCTCAGCCGCACATCTACACAGAACCGAAGGTAAGCAACGAGCTGGGACACTTTCAGCCTTTAAGTTCCTTTTTTTTTTTAAAGTAGGAGTTTTCCCTTTAATCAGCAAAAATAAACAGATTGCACCTCATCATTTGTGCCATAACATCACGGGCTCCTTCTACAATCTTTCGTCAGCAGCCAATCACTGAACCTCCTCCTCAGAGATTTACTCCATCAAAGTGGATATTTTTGGCTGGAATATTACATGCACAGTCTCCTCGCAGAGTGTAGTGATTTAACACCTTATCCCCTATGAAGGCCTATTTTGTTATGCCACGACGTGGGATAATAGATCAATAAAGTAACACTGTGCATAAAATGAAGTAGACACCATCAAATCATCGCATGAGGGTGACGATGCGCAGCGTGCTTTTGATTTGTCTATTGGCGCTCACCGTGCACATCTCACCCCTGAGGCTTGGCCACTGACAGCCTTTCTTTCTTCTTTTTTTTTTTAACCTGCGTGTTTCTGTGATTTATTCACGTGGGATTTAAAACACACAGTAGGGGGAAAAAACGTATTTTTAAAGCTTATTTAAGAAGGAGAATGATTGTAGGATTCTGATTTGTTTAAACACAACTAAGGAATAAAACAGTTCTGCGTATTTGGAGTGTTTTATTCCCTTCGTCTATTAAAAAGTGCTGTTTAGTTGCGTAAAAATATTCATTTTTAGTTCCATTTTCCTGCCATTATTTATTAGCTCATCATTTTAGTTTCCCCAAAGCCCACTGACTCAACAGGCTGTAATAAAATACAAGTGTTTATGACCTCGTCTCCCTGCTTGTGTGCCCGTTCCAGTCACCGAGAAACCAGGAGCCAGAGATTCCTCTCCGACCTCGGGCACAGACAGAGACTCTCCGGACCTGGTCCTCAAATCCGAACCAGACACCAAAGACGACGACGAGGACGATGAGCACAACAACAACAAGAGCAGCGACGAGATCATCCTGGAGGAGAGCGACACGGAGGAAACCAAAAAAGACGAGCTGGAGGAGTGGAAGAAGCGAGACGATGACAAGAAGCCGTGCCGCAAGAAGAAGACGCGCACGGTTTTCTCCAGGAGCCAGGTGTTCCAGCTGGAGTCCACCTTCGACATGAAACGCTACCTGAGCAGCTCGGAGCGAGCCGGTCTGGCCGCGTCCCTCCACCTGACGGAGACCCAGGTGAAGATCTGGTTTCAGAACCGGAGGAACAAGTGGAAAAGGCAGCTGGCCGCGGAGCTGGAGGCCGCCAACCTGAGCCACGCCGCGGCGCAGAGGATAGTCCGGGTGCCCATCCTCTACCACGAGAACTCGGCCTCGGAGAGCGGAGGCGCCGCTGCCAACGTGCCCGTGAGCCAGCCGCTGCTCACCTTCCCGCACCCGGGGGTCTACTACTCCCACCCCATCGTCACATCCGTGCCGCTGCTCAGACCGGTTTGAAAATAAGCCGAGCTTTGTGGCACAAGTTGGTGTCTATTTCCTAAATTAACTCATCACAAAAAAAGTACAAGAAAAAAAAAAAAAAAGTTAAAAAAGAAAAACAGACATAATATTTTTATACTTCTGAGTGAATGAAGAAACAGAAAAAAATAAGAAGAGACTGTCACTGTCAGGCCTACATGGACCTATTTTGGCAAATATATTGTGTCATTTTCCATAAGGGTGCCGTTTACACGTGGTCCAACAATTTAAATCTCATTATTATTATTATTATTATTATTATTATTATTATTATTATTATTATTGAT